GTCCGATTTTTTTAGGAGACTGCTCACTTTGATATTTTTTTTATGGCTGAGCTGCCCCCCAAAATATTTGCGGCATGAACTGTGTTTTTTTTATTGTGCATCTGCTCTAGTCATTTAAAAGAAAAATAAATGTAAATATTTCTGAAGCAGCAAACTGTTCAGTCTTCTTTGCAATGGGTCCGTTGCTATGGGTTGGAACCAAAAGGACCAAGCGTGAACTTAGTTTGATAACGATTTTTTTACAAATGTTTGTCTGCCTTTATCCCCGTCACTACATGTACAATGCTCCCTAAACTTGACGTAGCATGTGAACACTTTCTCATGGCATTCCTGGCTGTTCTATTGAGTATATATGTCACAGATTCATTGTTCTGTTTTCAGGATAGTGCTCGCATTAGATACGACAGTTCAGATTTTCCATACATACAAGTTTGGGGAACATTTGCGCATTGCAGGTAATTTTATGTTGCAAAGACGTGCATCAAGTTGCGCCTGCAAACTGCCAGGACATCCCTGTTTTGCATGTCGCATATCAACTTTTTCAAGGAGGAGCTTGGCATGTGACATACAAAGCCCGGATGTACTCATGAATAGCGGCAGTAACATAAAATGGGGCGAGTACTATCACAAACAAGACTGAACTTTTTCCGTACGCACAAGAAATGTAACCTGTGTCGTTTTGGACGCATTGGAACATGTAATGTACTTCGTAAAAATGGTACATGTTCTAGCATGGCTTGCAACAGAACATGTGCTGCTGTGTGCCACGATGGTACATTTCCTGTAGCATACAGTACTTGTTCCGTGATGATGGTGTATGGAACTTGTTGTGGCTGCCCATACAGCAACGACATGTCCCGTACTAAAGAAGTATGGAACATGTTCTGTAGTCCGGTAATACAGTACATGTTGTGGCAACAAGGTTAGCATGTATGTGTCCCATATTTTGACAGGAGTTTTTCTAACAGTGTATATTTGGACCCCTATGTGCTTATGCGAGGACGGTTGCTCTAATTTTTCAGCGTCAACTTTTTTCTTTTTTTTGCTGCGTAATTTACTTTGACAGTATAGCCTGCCGGTAACAGCTAGACGGCGCCAGTAGAGCGAGGCCCCAAGGTTATACCTTGCCTCGGTGTAACTTTTAAAAGAGTATGATTTCTAATGCAATTAAATGCAAAGGTGCAAGCGAGCTGGACAAGAATGACGAAAATAATCCCTGGAGAAGGGGGAACAAGAGGGACAAGGGACAAACACAAATCTCCAAACACAGCTAGGTGACCGGTGTGCGACCGAAAAAATCCACCTGGTCCGGGTATCGAACCCGGGACCTCTCCGTTACAGGTGCAGCGCTCTACCAACTGAACTCAGTGGAGCAAACGGGTTTTATCAGCCGCCACCAGTCGAACACCAACAAGGGTGAAGCTTGCAATTTAAGGTTATGATTATAATGCAATTAAATGCAAAGGTGCAAGCGAGCTGGACAAGAATGACGAAAATAATCCCTGGAGAAGGGGAATAAGAGGGACAAAGGACGAACACAAATCTCCAAACACAGCTAGGTGACTGGTGCGCGACCGAGTTGGTAGAGCGCTTCACCTGTAATGGAGAGGTCCCGGGTTCGATACCCGGACCAGGCGGACTTTTTCGGTCGTGCACCGGTCACCAAGCTATCTTTGGAGATTTGTGTTTGTCCCTTGTCCTTCTTGTTCCCCTTCTCCAGGGATTATTGTCGTCATTCTTGTCAAAGGGTGAACGATAAGCCCCCCATTGCGTGCCGACGGCCTCGATATCCGCTACTTATACGAGCGCAACGCACACATATTGGAGCATGACGCAGCGCAAAGCCTGATACTTCTTCGCAGTAAAAACGCCCCCCCGTGATACATAGTCACGTTCCGATTGGTCCACCAGGCAGCAGCTTCCGCCGTACTTGCATGTTTTGCGATCACGGCTTCCTGGCATACCCAATATTTCTTGCTTCAGACACCAGGCTATAGCGGCGCCACCAGAGTAATAGCTCACGTTTGAACAATGCAGCTGCCACTCCCAGGCATACCCAATGTTCCTTGCTTCAGTCGCTAGATAGCGTTAAACCAGACACCATTCCATTTAGCGGTTTCTGGGCGGCACCATTTTGTTCGACAGCAGCGCCCTCTCCATACATCCGGGAAATTAAGCAGGTTCCGCGGGGTAAAACGAGAGAGAAGGCACGCGCCCGACTCCGCTAGCAGACGAGAAACCGGGAGGTTGCCGTTCTCCATGTTTAGGCTGTACCGGCGGGCTGTACGGAACATCGAACTCTCGCTCATGGCTGCCGTTGTGAAGCGGTTCGCGTTCTTAGAATAGTTATGGCTACTCCAAAATCAGCCTATAGCTCTCTGTTGTTCTATTTCGGTAAATGATCAACTAGCATATTTTTTTCCCGTTACTTAACTAGCAGTTGAATCAGCCGGCAGTACTACCCGCAACTACTGCGTGTACTGCGGCAGGAGAGCACGTTTTTATTTATTACTTCAGACTTCCACTCATGGTCGCTAAAGGCCTACACCAGTACGAACTTTGTATAGTAAAAAAAGGTACAGCAACCGGATTTACCTTTCGCCGGAGAGACCGGCCGATCTGACACAGTTTTTCCTTCTTTTTTTTTTTTCACGCAGGTAACAGCGCAATTGAACCCTGTTAATCGTTTTATCTAGCATAGTATTACACGATAACTGGCATACCAAAATCTGCGCATCTGCGCTTGAAATTTCCAAAATGACGCGATTTTAAACAGAGTTTGTACGCCAGCCGGATGCTAGGTACAGCCCACTCGGCGGAGCAGACGACATCCGGGTGAGAGGGGGAGGGCATTTTTTCTCTCTATTACCTATTGTCCGAAATCCTAGCCCCCAGCGATAAAAATGTGAATAACCTCAAGCGCAGACTTTTGTGAAGAGATGGGCTAAGGTTTTTGCTCTTTACAGCACTCTTGGCAGTGGTGTTGTTCTTGGAGCTTCGTGACGATGCCTTCCCGACGTTCTTGCACTACGATACGTGCGAAGGTTTCTAAAAAAAAGCGAGTCACGCAAAAAGCGCAGCCCCCCCCCCCCCCCCCCCCCGCCCTCCCTGCCCCCTTCCCTTTTACTGTGTCATTGCGTGCAGCATAAACAAACATGGCGGCGCCCATGGAGCAGAGCAGACACTGGTCTATAGCTATCCCTGTGTTTTGTCTGGCCTTCACGCGTTGGTAATGCACTGCTACTTTAAAAAGCGGGGGAGTTGTGTGCTGTGAGGAAACTTTTAAAGTTGGCAGGCTGCAACTACGACATCTGTAGAACAGTGAGTCACCACGCCCGCATTACTGTAAATGAAGCCTGCTTCGTTTTCAAAAATGACAATGCAGCTTTATCTGTTTTATCTTAACAGCGCCCCCTCCCCCCTAATATTTCCGTGAGCGTCCGTACCGCCGAGCCCACCCTGCTTCGTCATTGTGTGTGTGTGTGTGGGGGGGGGGGGGGGTCATGCTATTGGAACTAAGGCCCTTAATTAACCCCCCCCCCGAAATAAAATCCTGGCTACGCCACTGCTTGTATCCGTTGGCCCGCTTGAGCCATGAGAAAAAGCTCGTCATATTCACCTCGAGATCGAACTGTGTTGCCACTATGTGGCCGGAATAGGTAACATGCGAAAGCGGGCATGGCCTCCGTACCCGAAGGGCTCTTGATGACCGGTAATTACAAATCTGCAAAGACATGTTGCAATATTTTGTTTAAAAAAAAAGTGCAACCAGGTCGTGGTCGCATTAATTAGCGCTGGGGCGTTTAAGGCCGACGACCAGACTCGAGATTCTGCAAGGCACAAGATCCTTCTCACCATAAGGGAGGAGGAAACAGACAACGGCGGGCAGTGTAAGAGGGGTGAGAGGATGAAGCGGGAGAAAAGTGGAAAGCGCGAACTGGTCGTCGGTCTCTAACGACTCGTGGTACACGAGCGACGCATCGCACAGTATCCGTACTCGGTCATATTAATGCCCAGGCACCATGAAGCACCCTAAAAATAACACGTGAACTTGTTTTCATCGCTGATGTGGCTGATATTGCCAATGAATGCTGAACTTTACGGCGTGTCCGATCCTTATGCGGAGGGCAAGTTCGTCTGCTTCTTGCGCAGGGGGTAGCGGTGACGTCAGAACGCCGAGTCCTGATTAGCTGATAGCGACCCCCTATCTGAGCGTCGTCTGCTCCTTTGCAACATCGTCTGCTCGCAACGTCGTCTGCGTCTGTCTTACCTTTCCTGCGACTTTCGGAAGTGCAGAGGCCATATTCACGAAATGATCTTACACCAAAAATGTGCGTATAACAAAACTTAAAAACAAATTCGTATTCACGAAACGAAATTTTCGTCAGTTTTGCACAAGTTACGACGAAATCCTCCGACAGCTACGAAGCCGTCTTACGCAACTCTTACGATCAAATCAGCGTGGCCGACAGCGTCGCGGTCGCGACGACCCACGGACGTTTATTTTTTTACGTGCGCTTCTCACGCGTCCCGACTTCAAGCAGCAAGAAAAAAGTAAAAAGTACTTGAAACAGACCACGACGAACAGGAACGCTGGATCCGCAAACACCAGGGAAAAGCTCCAACGGCCACGATCCCACCGAACTCGACCAAGCGAGCTTCGGCAGTTAGGCCTAGCAGGCACTCCGCGACTCGGCGACTGTCTGCCCACGACCGGCTGGCGTGCTGAATGGAATATGCCCGCGCGACCCTTGTGAACCCTTCCCGTATCATACTTTGATCGCTGACCTCAATTTTAGATTAAGAGGTCAATTTCTTTCTCTTGTTATCTCCTTGTTTCCCGAGGCAACGGTGACTCTCGCAGGTGAAAAAGCGGTGAATTTCCGACAGACGCAGGAAAGGTAAAGCAGCCATCGCTTTGACTAGCAGACGTAAAGCAGACGACGTTAACTGCGCCAACCCGCCGACGCTGTAGAGACCGGGACCAGACAGAGTCAGCTGGGCCGGATGGGCAAAGACCCACGGCAGTCTTTATTCACAGAATATATACAAACGCAACAGTGAGGCAGCGCCCTCTATGATAGTATGTTAGAATTAGTGTTAGTCGTGTTAAGAGCGACCCCTGACGATAACAAACAACACTACATCCCCCCTTCCAGAAGGATGCCCTTCTCTTAACTAGACCAACAATCACAAGTCCAGTCTCACAGGCGGAATAACCCGTCGCCCTGATCTTGTGCAGCGATGCTCGTGCTGCCTGAAGTCCCCTGATGTCGAACTTCCGTTCACCCATGGGTTTGCACTCGTCGCTGCCGATCGTCGCTGTTGCGGCTCAGCCGGCGTCTCTGAAGGCGGGGCTTGAAGACCAGCCAAAGCCTCCTCGGGAATCGGAGGATCAGCAACCGGCTCCCCAGGAACTGCAGAACCAGCCACAGGCTCCCCAGGAACTGGAGCCCCAGGAGCGTGAGCACCGTAAGGCACCAGGTGTCGCCGGTTTCGCTGTAGCATGCCCCGTTGAGTTTCCACGACATAGGAACGTGGACGCTGCGCACCGTTGAGCACCCGAGCAGAGCACTGAGCATCGGTTACCCAGACCTCCTCTCCAGGCGAGAGGTCTCGAAGCACCTGCACACCATGGCGACGGTTGAAGTCCACTGCCTGCTGCCGCCTCGCCGCACTGTCCCTCTCTTGGAAGGCACCCAGGGCCGGCACCTCAGGACGCAGCTTCTCCTTGGCCCTCGGCATCCGAGAACGCAGACGCCGCCCCATCAGCAGTTGCGCCGGGCTGAAACCTGAAACGCCTGGGGTGTCCCGGTATGACAACAGTGCCAAAAAGACATCGTCGCTCTTGCGGAAAAGGTCCTTAATGGTTCTCACAGCGCGTTCCACCTCCCCATTCGATTGGGGGTAGCCGGGGCTACTAGTGATATGCTGAAAACCATAGTCTCTTGCGAAACTTGCGAAGTCATGTGAAGAAAACTGTGGCCCGTTGTCGCTTCTTAGTACTTCCGGTATACCGAACCGAGCCATGGAACTCTTGACCGCTGCAATCACAGCCTGGCTTGACGTACTTCTTAATGTTACAACTTCTGGGTAACGAGAGTGGTAGTCCACAAGTAAAAGAAAATCCTGCCCGTCCAGATGAAACAAATCCGCTCCCACCTGTTTCCATGGCAGGTCCACCGGAGGCGTTGGCAGCAGGGGTTCCGCTCGTTGCGTCCTGGTAGATGCACAGCGGTCGCACGTTTGCACCATGGCCTCGATCTGCTGTCCAACATGTGGCCACCAAACCGAGTCTCGGGCCCGCGCCTTACACCTGTTCACCCCCTGGTGTCCTTCATGTATCAACTGTAAAACTTCGGGTTGCAGAGCTGCTGGGATCACTAGACGGCCACCCTTGAGAAGCAGACCCTCGCAGACGCTCAGCTCCCCACGGAAATTCCAGTACTTCATGACATGGCTGGGAAGCTTGTTCCTTTGAGGCCAGCCGTGGTTGCAGAACTTCTCCAGCGTTACGCACTCGCCGTCTGATGCTTGATGCCGACGGACATCTTCGGGGCTGACTGGAGAACCTTCCTGGATGGAATGGATGACGTTCTGCACGTAAAGCTCCACGGAGCTCGCTTCTACGGCTGATGTCAATGGGGCCCTGGACAGAGTGTCGGCCGTAGCCAACAGCTTTCCGGGAACATAAAAGATCCTGTACTGGTACCTCATGAGCTTGATCCTCAGGCGCTGGATCCTTGGAGGCAAAACGTCCACGTCCATTTCTCCCAGTAGGGCTGTCAAAGGCTGGTGGTCTGTCTCCACGGTGAATCGCAGACCTCTGACGTACTCGTCGAAGCGTTGTACGGCCCAAACAACCGCCAGGGCCTCTTTTTCGGTTTGACTATACCTCTGCTCGGTTGGCGTGAGTGCACGGGATGCGAAAGCCACGGCTCGGCGTTCACCCGTTGGCTGGTCCTGCATCAAAACTGCCCCAAGTCCAAACGAGCTGGAATCCGCAGATATGATGGTTGGGTGTTCTGGGTGGTAGTTGGCCATGCAGATGTCTGAAGATATCATGTCTTTCAGTCTCTGGAATGCCGCTTGCTGGCTTGGACCCCAGAGCCAAACACTCCGCTTGTTCAGTAGCTCGCGGATTGGTGCTGTAACGTCGGAGAGATGTGGCAGAAACCTCCCCACATGGTTGACCATGCCCAAGATCCGGCGCACGCCCCCGACGTCGACCGGCGGTTCCATACGCTGCACGGCTGCCACCTTCTGCGGATCTGGTGCAATTCCGTTTCCGCTCACGATCACGCCAAGGAAACCGACGCTTGTGACGCCAAACTTGCATTTGGCCTTGTTCAAAGTCAGCCCTGCCCTCGCCAGACGATCCAAGACTTCCGCCAGTCGGCGATCGTGTTCCGCGCTATCCCGGCCGAAGACGAGGACATCGTCTATCATGTTGACGACGCCATCTTGACCCTCGAGGATGTAACTCATCTGGCGCTGGAAAAACTCTGGCGCCGACGTAATCCCGAAGGGCAACCGGCGGAAACAGTAACGCCCGAACGGGGTTATAAACGTCGTGAGTTCCTGGCAGTCTTCGGCCAACTTCACTTGATGGAAACTGGATGTAGCGTCCAGCTTCGAAAAAACTCGAGCTTCACCAAGAAGTCCCAAGACCTGGTCTACCGTCGGAAGGATATGGCGCTCTCGAAGCACCACCTTGTTCAGCCTCGTGAGGTCGACGCAGATGCGGTAGGCGCCGGACGGCTTGGGCACGACGACCATTCCCGCGCACCACGGCGTAGGATTCGACACCCGCCGGATGACGCCCTGGGCTTCCATTTTGTCCAACTCCGTCTTCACAACGTCGCGCAAGGGGATAGGAACTCTTCTTGGAACGTGAAGCGAGAAAGGAATCGCATCGGGCTGAAGGCGGATGATGTACTCTTCTTTGAGCTCACCCAACCCTTGGAACAACCCCGTCGGCGAAGTATCGTTCCTTCCTTGCTGGACGGCTGCCACCGGCTCGACGAACTTGACCACGCCGAGCGCCTGGATACCCGGAAATCCCAGGAGCGGAACAACCTGGGACCGGACCACATAGAGCTTCTGCCTGGTCGTCTTGTTCTTCCATTCAAGCGTGGCGACGAACGCCCCGAGAACATCCAAAGGCTGGCCCGCTGGACCGGTCAGCTGTCCGTCCGGCGGCTCGAGCCGCGCCGGAATCCCAGAAAATGTGCTGGGGATGACCGTGACTTCGGCCCCGCTGTCGACCTTGAAACTTAGTGGCATCCCGTCGACTTTCACCTCGACGAACTTCGCCCGAGTGCTGCCGTCCGAACTGACGGCACCCAGCTCAACCGACGCGAGCCTCTTGCTGTGCCTCTCGAGCTTCGTTCCGGAGCGACATACCGCTGCGAAGTGGCCCTTCTTGTGGCATTTGCTGCAGAGTGCTCGGCTTGCAGGACACTCGGAACGCGGATGAAAGTCACGTCCGCAGAACCCGCACGGCGAAGAACCCGCATTCCCTACGGCAACGTTGCGCGCTGTTTTTGGTGGGCGGTTCCCCGTGACTCTCGCCGCGTCGATGCTTATCGCCTTCGCTTCGGCAGATGCCGCCGAGGCTCCGGTAGAATCGCGAATCCTCCGCTCCCTCTCGGCATCTTCAGCCTGACGTACTTGAATCAGGGCTTCTTCGAGTGTCAGTCTCGGATTGCGACAAAGCCTGTCTGACAACTTGACATCTCGAAGACCGACCACGAAGCGGTCCCGTATCAAACGCTCCTCCACTTCCCGCGAAGGATAGTTGCATTTTTTTACGAAGTTTCCCAAAACCGTGAAAAAAGAGTCGGCCGACTCACCGGCTTGTTGGACGCGGCGATGAAAGCGTGCACTCTCGTACAGTTCGTTGGCGGGATGGATAAAATAGCCGTCGAACTTTTCGGCGATGTGGTTGAATTCGCTGAAGTCCGCCTCTTCCACTTGCAGCGAGCTCAGGATGTCGCGTGCCTTGGGTCCCATGCAGTAAAGCAGTGTCCTCACACGAACTTCGTCACTGGCGGCGTAGAGGCCTGATGCGTAGCAGTAGTCTTCAAATTGCTGCCGCCACTGTCGCCATGCTCCGGGGTTACCGAAGTCAAACTGCGGCGGCGGGCGTAGGCTTGGCACGCCCACTGTTACGGGTCCCGCCCCGGACCCCGCCGGCTTGCCTGTAGCCATGGTCTCCGAACTTCGCCGCGGCCGCTGCCGTAGGAGGCAGCCTAGCGAACCACTCCTGACTAGACCTGTGCGCCGCCGCGCCGCGCCGCCGCCGCCGCCTGTTTTGTTCTCGCCGCCCTGCGCCGCCGCCGGGGTCCCCAGAGCCAGCACGCCGCCGCCGCCGCCGCACAATAAATCCGGCGCGCCGCCGGCGCCACCATCTTTTTTTTTTTTTTGGTGGGGGGGGGGGGGGGGGGGGGGGGTATCGGTGTTTTTTTTTTTTTCCTGCTTCTGTATGAGTTTTACTTACTATATTATGCATAAAATGAATAGATTTTTTGCCTTTCATTTTTACTCCTGTAAATATATCAATAAATGTAGAAGTTACATAAAAAACGGAGACACGGAACAATAAAAAAAAACGGACAAAACAACAAGTCTCAAACACCGTTCATTGTTTATTTGAACAACGAACGTTGTTACACATACCTCAAAACCCTCACCACCAAAAAAGAAACACCTACTCTTCACTAGGTCACCGAGAGCCGGACACATTAGACAGAACCCATATGATTCATGATTCAGATATATCTAAATGATTCACACCAATCAGTCACCCTGATGACCTCGCTTGAGGGCTGACCAGCCACATGCAATAACAGGAAACTCCAGCTCCAGCACAGCCCTTACAATTTTTAGAAAACAGACACAAAAAACGCCTCATGTCACTGTCCGGTGCCAAGGACGGTGTGCTTACATCAAAATACGCATGGTCTCCCTCAGAACTCTCCTACCATTGCTGATTGTTGGGCGAGTTGGTAATGTGCGTGAGAAAACATGATTGCGCTTTAAGGCTTAGACAGAGGAAGATACAGTCAACTGATTTAATCCAAGAGCCTCAGCGTAGATACACACTGCGTCACCGCACCACATCTCAACCAATCCGTGGCCCCGCCGCGGACCGCAAATACACTATCTCTTTTCCTGCAAAGTCGATTGAAACCACGCATGACTGCAGGTGCAAACCATTATTTGCTTCTTCCACTGTTCTCGCTAGGCACAAAGATAAGACTGTTAGAGAGATAACTGAGGCGGACGCCATCAATAGTTCCGGCACGTGTTGTGCATGTGTTTTTTTCTGGCACCCCTGAGGACCACCCGAAAAGGAGGTTAACCTTTCTAATTTGTGCTGAGCTTTGAAAACTAAATTTACACCGAACCTCTTTGCCACTGATATAAAATTATGAGAGATTCCAATTAAGGTAGTAAGGCACACACACAACATTCTTTACAACCGTTTTTTTCCACAGGAGCCGGATTGAACGTACGTTCCTTACACCTTCAGCACAACTGTAACAATCCCATCCTGGTGTAATTGTTAAAATGGTTGTGCACGAAAATTGAGCTTGGTAGAAGGTATTGTCTGTTTTTATCTAGAAATGCCTGACAGAAGTGGAGCAACAGTCCATTGTCACTCAAAAGCTCTGAGTAATTGATTGAAATATTGAATCCACATCATGGGAGAAGGTGAGATGTGACAACTGTAGACATCAAGGACTTATGTTACTTTATGGATAAGTCGGAGCTGTTAATAAGGGTCAGGAGGTGGTGTGATGATAATCTAGTGAAGTTGCAGTCTGCCACTGGGATTGATGTAGATAGTTTTATCAGCATTCTGGAGTTTCATTTAGAGTCCACTGCCGTAGACTTTGATGGTTCTCTTTTTATTCAAAAACAGGGTGTGCGTATCGGGTCGTGAATTGCTTCAGTGTTGTCCAAGATTTTTCTTCTTTTTTTTTTTTTTTTTAAACAAGACTTACGTACACGTTGACACGGTTGTGCGGTCCTTGTTGATTGGACTGCAGAACCCTGCCATCGCAGCAGTCGAATTAGGTACTTATAGACCTACTGTTGCACACGGAAAAGGGCCTGTGCTGGAGGTACGGCAAGGAATCAGCCAAGCCTCTGCTGGCAGCGTCTATGTTGGCAGCTGACAGCTGTCACTTGAAAATAGTTAAGAGTGGTGTAGGTGCGTCTGCGATGGATAACGCCTGTAAAGAATCCCGTACGTTTTGGGTTGGTGAGGCAGTTGAGTTGCAAAAGATGCGTCGTCTGGAAGCGGGCCATCACCACGATGTAATTGTTAGAGTTGTGCTCAAGGTGCTGAAGGTTTAATCCGGCTCCTGTGAAAAAACCGGTTGTGAGGAATGGTGTGTGTGTGCCTTACTGCCATGGAATCTCTCATAACTTTATATCAGTGGCAAATAGGTTCGGTGTAAATTTAGTTTTCGAAGCTCAGCACAAATTAGAAAGGTCAACCCCCCTTCTGACGGTATTCAGGGGCTCCAGAAAAAAACATAAGAAACCAAATGTAACTTTTCAGGCAGAGTGGTGTACGGGACTTTCTCATTTCGTCGAAACTCGTTTTGTGGAATTACGTATCGCAGACAACTTTTCATGGGCACACGTTTCACGGACACACGTTTTGTCGACACGATCGTTTCATCGACACTCGTTAAGCGAATTGAACGCTGTAGGGAGTCGACATCTCGTCACGCGTGTATCATTAGTAAGGGTTCTGATGGAGTTGCCTGTTATCGCATGTGGCTGGTCAGTCATCAAGCGGGGTCGTCTGGGTGGCAGGTTGGTGTGACCATGAATCATTTGGATCTGTCTGAGTGTCCGGCTTTCAGTGACGTATACACTCTAAAAAAAGGGTGTATTCTTACACCTTTTGTCTTCTATAAGACACCCCAACACTTCAAACGTCGATCTGACGGTACTAACTTTCACGAGAGGCTTGATAGCCGTGTGGTACAACTTATTAACATAGCTAATGTACGTGTTACTGACTACAAAAAAGATAATCGAGGTTTTCTTGGCCCTACTGCAAAACCTCATGAGGTTTTGCAGTAGGGCCAAGAAAACCTCGATTATCTAAAGTACGTATCAAAGACCACAGAAAGAAAGCAGCTTTCTTTCTGTGGTCTTTGATACGTACCTTAGCTATTTCAGAAGTTATATCGCTCCGTTATCAAGCCCCTTGTTAAATGTATGGCCGTCTGTGCGCTGTGCGTCAAACTAAAGTTTTGGGGTGCGTTATATGGGACAAAAGGGTGTATGGTGATACCCTTTTTTAAAAAGTTTTTTTTTTTGATGGTGAGGAGCGTTCCTTGTTCAAATAAGCTACATCCGTTTCTTCAAGAAAAAAGGAAGTTTCGAGCATTTATTTATTTATTTATTAAAGTACCCTCAGGGCCCGAAGGCATTACAAAGGGGGAGAGCACATACACGAAGCAAAGATGTTTGTATACGCGACGCAAAGGTTGTCGAAGAAAGAAGCAATGATTTTGGCGCTGGAACGTGTACGTCTTGATAACACAGATAGTGGAATCCAGCTACATATATCTTAATTCTCCACATAAAGGTGGAAATTAGTAGTGGTTCGCAAGGAGTCGGACTCTTTTTACTAGAGTTCTTGACGTGAAAACGGGTATAAAAGCTGTTTGAGACTTGTTGTCTAGTGCGTTATTTTTATCGTTTCGTGTCTCCCGTTAGTATGGAAGTTCTTCACCAGCTCGCCTGTGTTTTTAAAGTGCTATAACGGACTGAACGGTTTTGTAGACCGTAAAACGATTTAATGAAAACTTTGTGAAATAATTTGATAAGAGGGCTATATTCGCGTCCGTTTTCAGGCTTCTTTCAAACGTATTTTATTTTGATCCACACGCCTGGCTTGTTCGTGTCACGTCGTGTTTCTAGGGGTCCTTCTTTCTCGTTTCCACGCCGGGATCCAGCATCGGGGGTCGAAGTCGAGCTCCCATCCGGTCGAGTAGGGGAGGCTCTCCTTACGGGTCTTTTCCGCCAGCGTGTTTGCTTACACTCCCGAGCTCAAAATCCTTGCGCCCTCGCACATTTTGTTAATGTTGTCATGATCCTCTGTTATGCGTCTAGCCAGGAGGGCGGCGTCGGCATGATGCGCTTGTAATCGGAGGATCTGCTGCGGTGCAAGGCGAGTTGGTTGAAATCGACGTCAATCGCTGCAGGTTGTTCGTGAAAAAAAAAAAAAGAGCTATCGTGCGGCAGCTTGGCGGCAATCCGGTGTGCCTTGCGGGGTAAACCTGGAAATGGTGTACGTTTCATTGTTCACGTTGGTGATGACTTAAGTGTTCGTGGAAAAGCAGGCCAAGTTTCGAGGTAGGAAGGCCGTTCGTGTACCATACCCTGTCCCTGACGCTGTATGGAGCTGGTCGATATTTTGCATCGTAGGAACGCTTCATGCCGTGAAGGTAAGCGTGGTTCGCGTTTGCAGCGTCGCAGTTGGCGCGGACGTCACCGACCTCGTCGGGAAGCGGGGAAAATTCCATTGGTCGACGTGGGACAAAGTTGAACAGGAGTTCGAACGGTGATTTCTGGGGTCTGGCGTACGGCTGCTGATTTACTCGAAAGCTGGTTGCCTGGAGATAATCGCTCCAATGGTCGATGTCGCCGTTGGCGTTCTTTCGCGCAGACACGGAAGGATTTTTCCGTTGGCGCGTTCGACAAAGTTGTTAGCTTCGGGAGCGTAAGGTACTGTTAGGGATGCTCTGAATGTGCCTGTCGGCGAAGTACCGCGAAGCCGAACGAGAGGTTAGGACCCTGTCGTTGTCGGTGATGACGGCTTGCGGCGTACCGAAAGAGTACGAGTTCTGTAAATAGAAGGACGTGCTCGGTCGACTTGTTAGGCATGGGGCGTGCGACAAGCGCGTGGTGAGGCGGAACGCGGTGATAAAATGCCTGTTGCCGTCGGTCCTCGTCTTGCGGAGGATCTTGCGCCGCGGCTGCCAGCCGGCGACATATTCTCTTACAAACGAGAATAAACAAGACGCCGAAGTACCTGATTCTTCTAACGGACGCACTCTTCACAGCGCGGGCAATGTCCATACCTCTCCAGAAAAAAAAATAAAATAAAAAAGTGTGTTCCTTTTAATGGTATTTGCATCTTGCTTTCCAAATTCAAACGACTCCTTCCTCTTTCTCCCTCACACTCTAATTTACACCCCCTCCCCTCCCTCTTCCGCGCCGCGCCGCCGCCGATTTGTTGATCCCCGCGCCGTCAACACGCCGCCGCCGGAGGTACAAACACCGGCGCGCCGCCGCCGGCGATTTCTGACCGGCGCACAGGTCTACTCCTGACACCATGTAGAGACCGGGACCAGACAGAGTCAGCTGGGCCGGATGGGCAAAGACCCACGGCAGTCTTTATTCACAGAATATATACAAACGTAACAGTGAGGCAGCGCCCTCTATGATAGTATGTTAGAATTAGTGTTAGTCGTGTTAAGAGCGACCCCTGACGATAACAAACAACACTACAGACGCCACACGAAAGGAGGGGAAAAGTGTTTGGGAGGGAACTTGCGGACACTAACACGCTTAGTCTCGGTTCTTAGCAAACAAACCTCGGCGCCTCGGGACACCTCGCCAGTGAGTCCTTTCATTTCTCTCTTTGATGCGCGTCTGCTAGTTGTTCGACAAAAACAACCTACCGCTCGAGTTATTTCGTCTGCCCTCTCTGAAAGGCGAAGTCGACCTCGCTCGTAAAGACCTGCACTTCCGAAAGTCGCAGGAAAGGTAAGACAGACGCAAACGACGTTACGAAGGAGCAGACGACGCTCAATAGGGGGTCGCGATCAGCCAATCAGGGCCCGGCGTTCTGACGTCACCGCTACTTCCTTTCTCATGCGCAGAAGACGAAAATGAGCCCACTTGCGAGGCGTATTAAAGGGACACTTCAACAAAATTTCAAATATACCCGTCGTGTTCACAAATAGGCTATGATCCACAACATCCGTTATCTTGAGCCAGATGGCTGTATTCTTCGTTATAAACGGCCCACTCTGGCAAACGCTCGGAGAGCAGCCAGCGGAGAGCACGTCACATCCGCCGCTATCGTGACGTAGTTTGTCTCGGGAACTTACGTCCGGACGCAGCGGACGCTGCGAGCTATCCTAGCCAACCCCGCTTTGAGGACGTAGCCCGTGATACGCTTTCCGCGCGTCGCTGTGTCCTTTCTCCAAGGTCACGTGACATTCACACGGCCTTGGATAGGCCTCGATGGCTAGTAGCATCCGCTGACAGCAGGTGAAGCACAACAGTTATTGGGCCACCGCAACTATCCCCAAAGCTGTCTTTGTACGAATTTGGAGTAACGGGTTAATCTTCTATAATCTTGTAGAGGAACATTAGCGACTTTTGGGACACACAAAAGAGAGTCTCGGGGAGAGGGGAGTTCCTCTTTCAGCTCTTTTCTCGTCATGGCCGGAGGCGAGACAGTTACCGTCACTACCTGTCAAGGTTCCTAGACGGGCATTACAAACGACGCGTTAGCGACATCCACCAGGTGCTCTTTGCAAATCATTTAATTTGTTTTAAAATTCCTTTTCGTGTCTTTTTCAACACGAGATTAGTGTGTCTGATGTGATAGTGCTCCAATGAACACGAGTAAACCAAAGAAATAAGCGCAGAAATTTCGTTGTAGTATCCCTTTGAAGCGATACTACAACGAAATGTCGGCACTTATTTTTTGGTCTATATATGTTCAAAGGAACAGTATTACATCGGACACACCAATATCTTGTTAAAAAAGTCAGGAAAATGATTTTTAAAACGAATTGAACGATTAGCAAAGAGCACCTGGTCGATGTCGCTAACGCCTCGTAATACCCGTCAAGGAACTTTGAGAGGTAGTGACGGTAACTGTCTCGCCTCCGGCCACAACAAGAGAAGAGGGGAAGGAGGAACTCCCCTCTTCCCGATAACCCCTTTTGTATGACCCAGAAGTCGCTATTGTCCATCTACAAGATTATAGAAGATTAACCCGTCACTCAAAATTCGTACAAAAGCAGCCGCTTCGAATTCGGTGGCTGGAACGAGTAGGCCAACCTTTCGACGTCAGCCTCGCCGTAGCTTTGCTCCTCCCGGGACGAACTACGTCACGATTGCGTTGGATGTCACGTGGTCTCCGCTGGCTGTTCTCCGAGCGCTTGCCAAAGTGGGGCTTTTATAACAAAAATACAACCATCAGGCCCAAAATACGAACGCGCGATTGTCATTTACGGATATTGTGGATCATATTCAACCTATTTTCGAACACAACGGCGGAGCGCTAGGTTAGCGCTACGTGAGCGTAGAGTTCCTGTATATGCTACCTACGGTAGCAGAGTTGCGCATTCAGCCTCGGCGGGTGGCCGTAGCGCCGGCTTCCCCGCACGCCCTGGATGCTTTGCTCCTCACGTGACTAAATTTGGCGAATAGCGGCGCCGCGCGCGCCGCCGCGCATGGAAACCAGGAGAGGAGGTGAAGGAGGGCGAAAGCAGGGGAACATACGTCGGGGCGCGAGAAACGTCGGCGGAGCGACCGTAAAGGTGGCTTTCTTACACGGCCCAGGATGCTTTGCTCCTCATGTGATGGACCTCGGCGAATAGCGGCGTGGCGGCGAGGGGAAAACAAATGCGCAACTCTGCTCCCCCTTCGGGGGAGCATATACAGGAACTCTACGTGAGCGCTCCAAAGAGCGCTCATGCGGCGCACCTAGTTCTAATATAGCGCGCGATTAGCGCTTGTACGGCGGTTATTGCTGCGGATTAGCGCGTGCACTACGGTTTCGGTGGTTGGGTGTGCATCAACAGTACCATGGCGGACATGTGGGACCAGTGGCGTACCAACTTGTTTTTGAGCCGAGGGGCAAACCAGACCCCCCCCCCCCCCCTCCTAGGGCAGGGGGGGGGGGGGGTCTGGTTTGCCCCTTCCCGGCCCTGGGAGGGGGGGGGGGGGGGTCTGGCCGAAGGCGCTTGGTGTCCCTCAAGCGCCGTCGGCCAGTGTTTGCCCTGCCAAGGGATGGCTGTTTCAGGGGGGCGGCGGCAAAACATGCCTTGCCCCCCCCCCCCCCTCTGAGAACTTGGGGGGGAGGCAAGCGCCCCCCTTGCCCCCCCCCCCCCCCCCTCCCGTTTAATACGCCCCAGTGTGGGATGCTGAAATGGAAATGCGACAAATGCTCTTACATGCGCAATTAGTGCATATGTGTGTGGGCGACTTAACGCCCAGAAGAGCCTTCTGGGTGCGCGAAATCTTTCGCCACCGAGATCCCGACGATATCGGGCGAACCTTGTTCCCAGGCTGAAGGACCGAAGGTGATTATTTTTTAACTGCGTGTCTTTGAAACCAGGGTCACGCATATTGAATAGAAAGCGATGAGGTCGCACCCAATAAATTAGTCGCTCAGAGTCCATGACTCCGGATCGTCTGCCCGACCCTTTGCTTAGAGAGCGGCTCTTTTCCTTCCTCTTTATTCAATGCCAAAAGAAAAACAACGGAATCACCATGACCGCGCTGTTCCGCAGTAGCAAGCACGGCACAAGGAGCGCGAGATCGCTTACACTGCGCTGCTGAAACGCTAACGGAGCACCTACTGAAGCGCTTCTGAAGCGCTAACCGGAGGCTACGTCACGAGCAAGTCGGCGCCACATGAGCGCTGCTTCGAGTGCTCATGAAGCGCTGAGCGCTCCGCTGTATGTGTGAACCGGCCTTTAGGGTGTTATACTTGACTGGTTAGATGTAAAGCCCCTCGATGTGTTTCTGTTTGTTTTGCAAGTAGCGTCAAATGCGCCAGTGCACGAGGCTTGTGTTTCGAGCGGCCCTTGGAAGCAAATGGCGGCGCAGCACTGAAATGAACGGCTCTTGGAAGCGAATGGCGGCGGAGCACCCGCTCGTGGCACGTGTCTCGCGCTTTCCTACAACAATGGTTGGCGGTACTTGAAAGCGTGAATTTTATCAAGGGACTTTAGTTAGATGTACATCGCCGCTACCTTTTCAGATTAGTACTTTAATATGAGTACTTGGCTGACAAAATAAGGCCATTATCTAAACACACCCAGAAGATGAATCCATCACTCAAAATTCGTACAAAAGCCGCCGCTTCGGTGGCTGGAACTAGGACATCCTCTCGACGTCAGCCTCGCCGCAGCTTTGGTCGTCCCGAGACGAATTATGTCACGATTGCGGTGGATGTCACGTGCTCTCCGCTGGCTGCTCTCCGAGCGCTTGCCTGAGTGGGCCTTTTATGACGAAAAATACAGCCACCAGACTCAAGCACAACCGAACTGGAAGTGGAAGCACGCGCGCTCTCTTTCTCTTCTTACGGCCTTAGCAATTGGGGCAATCGCCACCTCCCGCCGCAACTCGCAAGCGGCGCTGTCATCTCACCCCTGGGCCTGTTTTCTCGAACGCGAACCGTGGGTTAAAGTTAACTATTGTCCCTAGAAGAGGAATTCTAGGTCACGTGACTGGGAGCGAACAGGGTTTCCAGCTTTCAGAATTATGACAGAAAGAATACGAGCTGGAACAGGTTCACTCTTTTGTTTCCACGATAAGTTATTACAAACTATCATACAGTTGACCACCCACTAGTACCGTTGAATAATACTACCCTCCTGCTCTGCCTCCCCTTATCCAAACATAAACAGTATAACAAAACCCCAAAACTGGAATCTTGGACAGACCCAACTGATGGAACCAGGTCATCACAATGAGTTGTTACCTTCTTGGACAAAGCGGAGAGGATTTAGGAAATTATTTATTGCACATTGTTGAAATTTTTCGCCTGGAAAAGTACCACAATTATAGAAAACAAACAAAACCTTAGACACTGCAAGAGATTTAAATACATAAAAATAACACTAGACTATACGATCCCCCGAAATGGGGGTACAACAAGCTCACGCATATGTAACATGTTTTCTCTAAACAAACAATCCACATAGCCCAGATAGGAAGCTAAGAACTGCAATAATCTCAACAAAAATTAGCACAAACTTTGGTCAACACCACACAGGTGGCATATAGATATGGATGAAACATATTTCATATTTCCCGCAATTTACATTATGCAACACCCAGGGTAATATGTACTTCATGCCTACAAACAAAATCTGAAAAGGAAAAGAAAATTTAACTGCATTGTGGAAACTGTAGCTGCAAAAATGTCACTCAACAAAGAAAAACAAATATTGCATAGTTAAAAGGATGACTGAAGATTAGACAAAACAGGACAACACACACACATCTAAAATAGGTAAAAAAATGTTAGTGCATCCTTTGCACTCCAATTGTATGATTCATCAAAAGTCAGACGAGATGAAATGAAACACGGGCTACACCTGCTTCCTCTCGGCAGTTCATAAAAGATACAGATGGCAGTAATTAGGAAGATGTGATGCTCTTAATAAAAATTGACGTAAGCTTTGGTGAGATGACTTATCACAAGGCACGGATCCGGATTAAATGTATTGCACACTTGCTACGATTCACATTCTGCAACATTCAAAGTGGCATGTGTATTGCAACATTCAAAGAAACAAAGAAGATTTAAAAATCTTAATTTCTCAATAGTAACTTTTACAAGATCAGCGAGGCTAAAAGAAGAGCCTAGTGCCCACAAGTTGTACAGTGCCACAGCAGATGCATTGCGGAAGGGACAACCAAGCAGAAGAGCAGTTAACAGAAAGCATGGTCCTAGGATGTGTCGTCCGCAGCTTGGGTATAGCTATAGGAACTTGAAGATCAGATGGCCAGAAAAGAGAACAACCGGATGCAATGTGCATCATAAGTCGCGTTGCACAACCAAGAACACAAAATAGAATCCCGCTTCACAAAGTCAGATTCTACCATAGTCTTCCCGCATACCAGAAGGAACATTCCACATGCTGCTCCTCGCCACAGTCTGCTGCGTCTGGCGAGCGAGCGACTGGTCGTGATCCGCCGTGCGCCGCCGCGCCACATCGCACGGGCCCGTCTGGGAGACAACGGAGTCGACCGGCCCAGTGGCCCGTCCCGTCTGGAGATGATGCGCAAGGCTCCCACGGTACCACAAGTTCTGCAAATGCCAAGTCTCGAGTGGATTGCCGGAGTCGTGCCCAGGCAACGCAGACACCCCGGAGATGCCACCGTTGGGAGGAGCCGCGGAAGAGGGCGGGCCACCGAGAGCCCTGGCTGTCCAGCTCTGGCTCACGTTGTGCGCCATGAACAGCTGGTGCAGGGCCCAGAGGGACATTCGGGGATCCTGCCACCCCAGTCCGGCTCCTGTCGGACACGAGGGGCTCAGGTCCGGACACGACGCGACGCTCTCGGACGGTGAGAGTGGCTTGGAGGCCGCTGACGAGCTGGCTTGGTGCGCGACGCGTTCCTCCTGCCCGGGGTTGCTAGGCGGCGTGGGTCTCATCCTGGCCGGATGCTGCTGCCTTGGCTGCACTCTGACTCTGGGGAGGTTCGTGTAGCGCTCTTCCGAGGAAGCCATCTTGACGACGACACGTTCAGTCTGCCTCTGGCTGGCGGGGGAGGGCACCTGGGTGACTCTGCACCCGTCTTTGCACCCGCCGTGCCTTGGCGAGCCAGTTTTCCCCGACGACTGGAGGTCTTTGGGGCTCGAGACGTGAGGACTGGTCCGGATGGTGGTGCCCCGCTCTGCGGCCACGCCAATGGGTTGCCCCACGCTGGAGTTGCCCGCTGGCTGGGGCAGCAGAGGGTACCTGGAGAACGAGCTCTCATTAGTGTGACAGAGGAAAAAACGAAACGTTTGCCAGTAACAGATGTTTCGAAGCTCCTTGCACAAACAATCTAGATCATCTAAGTTAGTGGCAGACATGGGCCCTTGCCACAGACAATGAGGGTGAGTCTCTCTGCTAATACCGCCAATCTCACCAGGACCCAGGTCATCACGACATGGGATGCAGATAATCAAATGTCGGGTAATCTGAACTTGTAATGCACTGTTTCTATAGGACCGTGTGGCTGAAATTTCGCCATGCATATGTAGTGCCACTCCTCCACCTGGTGAGGTGCACCCATACTAGTTGGGTGTACGCACAGCAGACAGTGTAGGAGGTTGGTGCGCTTGTGCTGACCTCGCGCTTCGTAAAGCATACCTGCCAAGTTTTACAATTATATCGTAAAGTGTCCACTTTCCAGCGCATTTTTATGGTTATCGTATTAACAACAATATTTGTACAATTTTCTGCACCCCGTGTAAAAAAAAAAAAAAAATAAGTTTTTGTTTAAGCTGCATTTCGCCTATTTACAAGTTGGTGTTGGCAACACTGGCACATTGACTTGAATGACAGGGGTCACAAGCTACCGCTCCTCATTATGAGGGGTATAGCCGCTAACACCTATCCATCCATCCATCGAAATCCAAAACTTTGTTTACAAAATCTCCTTTGTTGTGGCGACGTTGGTTGTGGCAAACTTGCGTTGGATAATCCCTTGAAACCACCCTTGCTACAAGATGTCGGGGAAAAAATACTTTCAAGTGTTTATTCCCAGCTATTCAACCGACTTCCCATTTATGAAGACATCGCGCAAGGGCGAAAGGTACGCCTTTTGTAGTCTGTGTCGCTACGATGTCAACATTTCACACGCTGGTCACCCGGGACATTCTGTGTCACCTGAATACAAAAAAGCACAAGGACTCTGCAAAATTAGTTGAAACCAACGAGAAGCTTGGAGGGCACTTTAGTCGATCAACGGATCATGACACTATCCGAGCAGAATGGCATTTTACGGTATTTTTGATCGAACACAATGTGCCCTTTATGGCGGCTGATCACGCCGGACACCTCTTTCGGAAAATGTTCCTGGGCTCAAAAGGGAGCTACAAACTGCGCTTGTGCTCGAACGAAGACAGCTGCGATAGTGAAAAAAATGACTGCAAAAGAGATCGGCGATGTTGGTAGTAGTTTAAGGTGCGTGCCGTTCTCGGTCGCGACTGACAGGAGCAATGATGTTGGCAATGACGCAAAGCTTTATCCCATCATAGTCACGCTTTGTGACAGGACGATTTGCACCACCCTTCTTGCGATGCCTGCTCTCGAAGGCGACTCCATGGGACGAAACATCAATGTGCTTGTTGTGGAGACGTTAAAGAGCAAAAACATTCCTATTCGGAACTGTATCGGCATAGCGTGCGATAACGCTTCAGTCATGATTGTATCCAAGAATGGTGTTGTTGCTGTCCTCAAGGAGAATCTTGAGAACATTGCCGTTATTGGTTGTTGCTGCAATTTAATCAATCTGGCAGCACAGAAAGGCTCAGCATGCCTCCCAGTAAGCGTGGATGAGGCACTAGTTGATGTTTACGACTACCTTGAAAAGAGTTCTAAAAGGAAGGACAAGCTGAAATCTTTCCAGTCTCTCTATGATGTTGAGGCAAAGAAAATTTTGAAGCATGTCAGTACTAGGTGGCTGTCTCTCAGCAAAAGCCTAAAACGGCTTGTGGAGCAGCGGCAGCCCCTGCTTAGCTTCTTCCGTAGTGAGGTAAGGCTGTCTAGCCAGGTCTTGAAGCTGCCAAGCAAACTAAGAGAACTTGAGACAGGTTCTAAGAAAGCTACAAAGAAAGGAGAGAGTGCTCATCAAAGCAAGAGACCAAGAATGGACACTTGTGTTCCTGCGACGAACACAGCTCCTTCTCTTTGGGATCCAAAAGTGTCAAGATGGCAAGCTCTAGAACAGAGAAGAAAAACTGTTCATGTTCCTTTCGTCGGATGTCAACAGAGTGTATTGCGACTTCTTGTTGTCGGTCATTCCAGAATTTGAAAAAACGAATGTGCTTCTGCAGTCTGGGGCCCCCTAAATACATCTGCTCCGGGAGATCCTTCACGACTTGCTTCGAGACCTGATGCTGCGCTTTGTCAAGCTGTCAGTGATCAAAAGGACTGATGTGCTGACAGACATTGATTACAAGCCTTCTGACAATCAAAAAGTGATAATGAAGACATGGTACTGGGCAGCCAGACAGCACGGAACTTGCAAAACTTGAAGAAGGAAGCCAGGCAAGAGGTTTCTGCACGGATCAGAAGATTCTTTGTAACGGCAAGCGATTACATCATCCTGAAATTTCCTCTGAAGTCCGAGATTCTGAAAAGTGCGGAGGTGGCCAAACTTTCCACCATTGAACAAGCCAGGTTTGCCGATGTCAAGTACTTCACGGACCGCTTCCCAGTTTTCTTGACAGTTGCAGAAGAGCAAAGTATGGAGTCTGCCCTGGATGAGGTTCAGGCTCAGTTCAGCCGCCTACAGGTGGAAGATCTTCCTGCTCAAATAACTATGCAGAAGTGGATTGATGAAGAATGGGGTGCAGTCTCTGATCTTCAAGACATGGATGGCACTTTTAAGTATGCTAAGCTTTCGAAAGTGATGTTGAGAATCCTGACGGTCCCGCGCGACAACGCAGAGTGCGAAAGTTTTCACTAAAGGGAAGAAGGCACACACGCAGTTCCGCTATGTCAAAAAAGACTCTTCAACAGTTGTTAGTTGTGAGATGCAGCCAGTCCGGGAAGTGCCATGAACAAGTGTTCAACACGGACTTCCTAAGAAAAGCAAAAGCTGCAACTTCCTCACTGTTGGCCCAACCTTCTACTTCTAAAGAATAAGACATTTCGTGCAATGCATGATGTGTTTGTGTTGCATTGTCATTGTTTACACCTGTCTATCCGCTGCTATCAAGCCGATAGCAGTTTCCCTGTTGACGTCACCAGTCATGGCGTTCTCTATATATCTGTGTTCGAAGCAATAAAGGGGGCGTTTCCCATACTGGCTACCACAGGAGCATGTCATAATCGTGTCGCGCCTGGGCCGAACGGCGGATGGCAGCAAAGACGCTACAGTGGCAACGAGCTGAACTCACGCAACGGGCACGACAAGCAAGGACGTGCCAGCCCCCGACGGTCAAGACCAACCAGCCTTACGACGTTCAACGCGGACACGGGAACCGATCGATCGTTTGTAATATTAAGAGAGGAAGAAATGTTGCATTGTCATTGTTTACATCCGTCTATCCGCTGTTATCAAGCCGATAGCAGTTTCCCTGTTGACGTCACCAGTCGTGGCGTTCTCTATATATCCGTGTTCGAAGCAATAAAGAGGGCGTTTCCCATACTGGCTACCACAGGAGCGTGTCATAATCGTGTCGCGCCTGGGCCGAATGGCGGATGGCAGCAAAGACGCTACAGTGGCAACGAGCTGAACTCACGCAACGGGCACGACAAGCAAGGACGTGCCAGCCCCCGACGGTCAAGACCAACCAGCCTTACGACGTTCAGCGCGGACTTGGGAACCGATCGATCGTTTGTAATATTAAGAGAGGAAGAAATGTTGCATTGTCATTGTTTACATCCGTCTATCCGCTGTTATCAAGCCGATAGCAGTTTCCCTTTTGACGTCACCAGTCGTGGCGTTCTCTATATATCTGTGTTCGAAGCAATAAAGGGGGCGTTTCCCATACTGGCTACCACAGGAGTGCATCATGATTGCGTCGCGCCTGGGCCGAATGGCGGATGGCAGCAAAGACGCTACAGTTTGTGCCCTAGTTGAGGCATTTTTCTTACCTAAACCAGGCTTTTGAAGAATAAAGCAGTTTTCATATTTCTTCACACAATTGTAGTGTTTTTTGGCATCCCCTGTAGTATTTTCAGCATTGTAGGGTTGGCAGGTCTGGTAATGTACCGGAGGCAAAAGGGCAGGGTACTAGGTATTGTTGTTGTAGGGATGGCCAATGGAGCTTAGCGGAAAGAGCTCGGGGAATCGGCGGCGAAGTCACCCCAAGCATCCTGTCGGCTGGACCAGTAAAGGTTCTTCCTTCCAGGAACGATGGTGGTTTTCCCGCTTCGTCGTCTCCCTCTGGTTTCGATGGGGCCGGGTACCGTGGAGTGGCGTGCGGTGGTGTGGGGATTTGCGTTGTCAGCAGTCAGGAACCGGAGGACTCAACGGACGTTTTTTGATAAATATATTTACAATGGTGGGCAAATACAGTACAGGGGCTGTCACGCTGCTGCCACTCACAATAGACGACGTCGACAAAAGCGTCTCTGCGTCAAATCCGTTGCCGCGCACGGCAAGTTCTCTGCCCCGCAAGACAGAGTATGCGGAGCCCACTGGACCGCGGGAGATAACGACTTGCTCCACGCACGGGCTCAATCAAACTCAACTTCTCCGAAAAGGCTCGCCAACATTCCGAAGGGAGGCCGAACCTCTTACTTGCCCCGGAGTCACCTACATGGCCTTGACAAAGTCGCGTCCCCAATTACTCCGGCGGCAAGGGCGACCACCCGCTCCCGCCATGGAAACAAAGGTTTTGTTTACTTCCCACACGGGGAAATCTTGCACTTTCGGGAGCTGGCCGTTGCTTGCCGCCAAAGGAAAAAAAGTGAGACATCGGGCGCCTCCGAAGGATGCTTGGGGTGACCTCGCCGCCAATTCCCCGAGCTCTCTCAAAAATAATGCATGCGTACGTTAGAAATAAGGCCACATTCTCTTCATTCAGCATTCCTATTGCTGTTGCTGTCGGCTCTGTCGGCATCCTATTGCTGTCGGCTCTGTCGAAGACTGCTCGGCGAGAACGCTGAGCAGTCTTCGACAGAGCCGACAGCAAGTAGGATGACATTGAGTATCGCGTGCTTTGTCAAAGTGTTGACTCTAATGATGTCTCGTTCTCCCGCCTTGCACCTGCTCTTCTGTTTCCTGGCACCGGCAGAAC